CAGCTTTCTTCAAGCCCCCGTCCCCTGTCTGGATACCTCCCCTGTGTCCTTGTGATCATGTGTTATCACTGAAAAGACTAGGCTGGCCTTTGGCTTTGCATTGCCTGGCGCCCTGTGTGTCGGTCCGTCCCAATCAGAGTGGTGTGTGAAATTCTGCAATGTACATTTTAATCCTACCTCGCAGGGTTGTTCTGAAGGTGTTTTCCCCCATTAGGGGGCTACTCACTGCACGGGAGAACAGGATATCCGTGTGACCCAATCTTTAAAATGCCCTGGAAGTCTATTTTGGCTGTGTTTGTTCTTTCATCCAGTTCACCCAGTTGGCCTGCGTGTTATCAAGTTTTCCTCCCACCTTGGGTGGCAGGGTCAGGACACAGTCCAGAAAAATTCCCGAATCTCGTAGCCAGCCATGGTGTAAGCTACATAGTCTGACCCAAGGGGATCACAAGATATCACTCTCTGGGTTTTAAGTCCGTCGTCCACCGTCTGATACCTCTTGGGGTGTTGGACTACAAATCCCACCACACTACAGAATCATGGGTGTTATAGTCCAATATCCCCAGCAGGCATCAGATGGCAGACGGTGGACACCAAGCTTCTCCTCAGTGTGACCTGTTCTTGTTGTGTACAGTCAAGTGGTCCCTGACCTATGGAGACTCCATGAATGAGTGACCTGCAGAGGAGAGCCTCTGATAATGTCTTCATTTCTCTCTTCCTTTCAGGATATAGGAAGCATGATAGGGAGGTAAGTGGCATTCACGGCTTCGGGATAGCAAAGTGGCAAAGCATGCTGCTTATACAGTATTCCGCCCCATCTCATCTCTCTCTCTCTCTCTGGACTAGCCTTTGTCAGATGTCCTACAGTACATGTAACCATGTTGTTTGGCTTCTGGGGATGATGGGAATGGCAGTCACTGTATGAGGGAAAACTTCATTTTGAAGAGGTGGCCCTAATGCAGTAATAGTTCAAAAAAGGAATTACCTTTCCTGGCCAGATGCCTTTCAGAAGCATTGAATTATTTACTTAGTTACTTCTGTTCCATTTCTGTCAGACCATTCCTTTAGTGAGCTCAAGGCAAAATACAAAGCTCCTCTCTTCCCCACTTTGTTTTCACAACGGCTCTCTGAGGTAGGTCAGGCCAGTGTCTGTCAGTGAATTTCACAGTTCACTGGGACCTGAACCTAGACCTCCAGCATTTCAATCCAACATTTTGTAATTTTTTTTTCAGTAGTCAAGGTCCTGATGTGAATTATTTTTGTGGTTTAAAAGTTTTTTTAAAAAAATCCAGTTCAACCTGAGGATCCTAGATTTGGGCCTCGCCGGTGAAACAGCAACATATCCAGTCACTATTTTCTAACTTTTCTTTTATGTCTGACTATTCTCTGAAAGGATAGTTTACCAAGACAGACAAGGATAGAGGAATAATATGATGTGGGAAGGTGCTGAACCTAGACCTCCAGCATTTCAATCCAACATTTTGTAATTTTTTTTTCAGTAGTCAAGGTCCTGATGTGAATTATTTTTGTGGTTTAAAGAGTTTTTTTTTTTTTTTAAATCCAGTTAAATCTGAGGATCCTAGATTTGGGCCTTGCTGGTAAAACAGCAACATATCCAGTCACTATTTTCTAACTTTTCTTTTATGTCTGACTATTCTCTGAAAGGATAGTTTACCAAGACAGACAAGGATAGAGGAATAACATGATGTGGGAAGGTGAAAGCAGCTACAGCAGCGATGTTGAGTCACACTAGGGAACAAATGTGGCTATACCACCCACTTCAATGACGAGTGGGCGGCTGTGGCTCTCTGGATTATTATGGACTAATTTCCGACTTCTGGTTCTGCTGGATTGGCTCGATTGGGAGCTGTGTACCAAAGACGTCATGGTCAGTCACAGTTGCCCACCGGTGATCTAAGAGAACATGGACTCTTTACAAGAGCTCAGAAAAGTTACTTTATTTACCCCCAGGGTACCCCAGCCAGCAGGATCAGTCCTTATGCCTATTTTGGGAGAGCATTTAGGGTAGTGGTTCCCAACCTTGGGTCCCCAGGTGTTCTTGGACGACAACTCCCAGAAATCGCAGCCAGCACAGCTAGTGGTGAAGGCTTCTGGGATTTGTCATTCAAGAACATCTCGGGACGCAAGGTTGGGAAGCACTGGTTTAGAGGTTGTACAGTGGTGTCTCGCAAGACAATGTTCTTGCAAAAACATTGTCATGCAAAACACGGTTCCCCATTGGAATGCATTTTATCATTCAAGAACATCTCGGGACACAATGTTGGGAAGCACTGGTTTAGAGGTTCTACAGTGGTGTCTCGCAAGACCATGTTCTTGCGAAACATCGTCTTGCGAAACGCAGTTCCCCATTGGAATGCATTGAAATCTATTTAATGCATTCCAATGGGAAAAAATCGTCATCTTGCGAAAATCATCCATAGAAAACATAGTCTTGGGAAGCGCAACAGCAATCACAAAAACTAATTGTCTTGTGGATTAATCGTCTTGCGAGGCACCACTGTAGTTTGAAGAGAGATTTCCCCCAAGCTGAGTAGAGAGCACCCCTACTCCCATTTCTAGAATGAGGAAATAGGATTGTAAGTGGGCAAAAAATAGGGTGCTCCATCTCTCTCTTATGTCTACAAAGCACAAACAGTGTGGGGTGGAGGTTAGGGAAAAGCATGTGGTCTCTGGCCACAGTTTGTGGTGAGCTGGATGTGATCTTTATTGCTTTCTTGGAGTTCTGGCTGGTGGTGCTTAAACATCTTGTTTCCCTTACAGGTACGAGCACACGAATGTAGCTCCATGCCCAGAGCCTTTTTCATCCAAGGAGAGGTGGCAGCTTTGGGATTTGCTGGATGTAAATACTTTTCTGGACTGTGCCATCAAGCAATTCAAAAGTAAAGGGAACCACAATAACACAATACTGACCATTTGTGGTGTGCCTAGCGGGGTGGGTGGAAAAGTTTGAGTTGCAGCTCCCTGAATTTTTCAGCCAGTTAGGCTGCCATGTACCCCAAAGAGGTACATCTCCAAAACTGGAGATGTGACAAGCGTACCTTGGAAAAATTATATTTTGGACCATGAAGCTCAGCATTGCAATACTGACTGGGAGTTGTAGTCTCCTCCCTCCACCATTCCAAAAAAAAAAAAAGGGGGGGGGGAGAATATTTCCAACCTTTGGCCACAATAAGGCAGGACAACTGCTGGTAATGTTAACTGGATACCCAAATGGGGAATGTTTGAGTGCTGTTTGGGAATAATACAATAGATAATTTTAGTTCACTATATAAAATGTCTGTAGTCAAATAAAATGTAGAGTTTGAACATGTGCGAATGGAAACCAGCTCCTAGTTAACTAAATCCCTCCAAACTCTTCACGTAAACTTGCATTGTATTTTTGCTTCCGCCCTCTCCTCTTTTTGAAAAAAATAACGATTAGGAGTTAGGAAGCTGCCTTATGCTAAGGATGTGACTATGCAGTGAGGGAAATCCAAGTCCACTCACATTCACTTGCTGTGAGGTCATACTAGAGAATTTGGGTGTGTATACTAAAACATCGAGGCACAAAAATAGCTTTTTTCCCTGTGCCATCAAACTGCTGAATTTGTAACCATCTGACGCAACTGGGAGTTGAGGCAATTGGCTTTTGTAGAATTTGTTCTTAATTGTCTTGTGAATTTTTCTGTTTATGGTGTGTGTGTGTGTGTGT